CATTTATTTCTCGATGTCAGAGAAAATTCAAAGCACTGATTAGTGAGCTGCCTCAGAAAACATGGAGATAGCAAATTGACCCCCCTGCCATCTATAATGGCAGTAACAACATGTACAACCTAGGGTAGAAATGAGCTTAAATAGATAAAACAGATATACTTTTGCACAATCATAGTTCATCATGGTTACTATGATTCCTCTTAATACCATTATCCTTGTTGCCATCATTAACAATCATATGCCATGTGCCGAGCCCACATTAAAGGCAGAACCATAGCCATTTGTGGAGTTTAATAATCCCTAGGAGATACTTAGCCATTAAAAATTCATGATACAATTATTCTTAAAAGAAAAGGTTTTCAGTTCACCCACCATATTACAGATTGTTGGGAAAGAATTTATTAACCAAATATTCTAGGAAATGGGTGACCAACCAATCTTATTAAGAATATTCAACCTGAATATTTATATACATAGGGAAATATTACATATTAAATATAATGTTGTAAAAAGCCAACCCAAATGTGGATTAATAAATAGAGACATCTTTTGAAACAGAAAAGGATCTGAGTTGTTAACCAAATCTTGGATCAGGTGCTAGCCAGAGTTTGCACCTTTTTGACTCCACCAGCAGATGGTGCTGTGAAGTAGAATAAGGCCTGCCTAGGGATGAGCATCCAGGTGCTGAGCTCAGAATGAGTTAGCCACAATGTAAAGGAATCTTTATATTATTCGTTTGTATTGTTGTTTGTTTACTTATTTCTATTTAATCCTCTGGGAATGACTTGGGAAACTTTTTTAAAGATAACTCTTTTATTTCAAATATTATTTTATGGCTAAGGAAGCACTTTTAGATACATTATCTGTTTTTATGTCATTTTCATAATAGCCCTTCAGCAAAGTAGGTAAGTCCTGGTATCCCTAATTTATTGGCTAATTTGAGACTCATAAAGATTAGTTGGCAGGCTTGACTTCTTATAGTTAGTAGGTAATGGTGGCAGGTTTTGAATACTGGATTTCTAACCGGAAGCCCAGCAAGCTTTCCTCTACACGTCAGATTTATAAAACTAAATGTAAGTGTCAGCAATTTGAATTTTCAAGTTCACTGAATATAGAACATTTAAATGAACATATACATTACTTTGACCAAGATTTTTAACGTCACAAGTACTATTTCTTACGTGGCTAAAAGATAGTTCTGGAAACATTTCGCCTTAGTAAGCTTCTCAAAGAAGAGCTTTATAACATAAAATTTTGGTGAAATAAAATTTCAGTTATAATTTCTTCTTTGTTTACAAATCTAACTCTTTGTTGTTAAAGTGAAGTTAATTAAGTAATTACTTAATTACTAAGACCTAAGATTCTTAGTAATCAAATCTTCTGACTATATTTTAAAGGAATTAATACTTCATTATAAACGAGTCCTATATAATAAAAGCCTAATATGCTAAGTGTCTGGTCATCCATTCAAGCAATCCAAGTGTAGTATGCTAATGATAAGCTAAGGCTGCTCATCAATTGACCAGTCGACCAGTCGCTATGATGTGCACTGACCACCAGTGGGAAGACGCTCCAACTGGTAGGTTAGCTTGCTGCTGGGGTCTGGCTGATCGGGACTGAGCGAGAGGGGCTGGACACGCCTTGGAGCCCTCCCGTGGCCCCTCCCCAGCTGGCCAACCTCCCATGTCCCTCCCCTGCCCTGATCGTGCACCGGTGTGGTCCCTCAGTCTGACCTACGCCCTCTCGCAATCCAGTACCCATCCAGGGATGTCGGAGAGTCAGTTTCAGCTCGATCCTACAGGCCAGGCCAAGGGACCCCACTGGTGCATGAATTCGTGCACCCAGTCTCTAGTTTATATTATAATAGACAAGGAAGATATAGCAATTCTGTTTTGTTCATATATTATCCCTGCAAAAAAGTTGTTCAACTGACATACATATGTATCTACTCGAGTGACAAAATGACAAACTGTCACAATTTGCCTGGAGCTGAAGGGTTTCTTGGCACATGGAACTTTCAGTACTAAAGCTGGGACAATCCTAGGCAAACAGGACTGTTGGTCACCCTAGTACACACATAATATATTTTATTCTTCACACATATATAACGTATCATAGGTTTCTTCCTAATAACTTGAATCATCTTGCACAATTATTTTACTATGCCATAATATGACGATGCCCATAGCAACCATTTTGATGAATGAATGTGCTAAACTAAGCCAGCATACTAATTTTTTTAAATATTTTATCTCAGTTTTACACATTTCTTGCTGTCACCATGTATTTTTAAACCCTTTAAGTGCTATTAGTAAAAAAAAAAAAAAAAAAAAAAAAAAAAAAAAGTCAGATAGCCTACCAACTTTCTGAGCATTTGTAAAATGTATTTTCTAAGTATAGTCTATAGTTTAATTTTTTTTTTAAAATTATAGTTGACATACAATATGATATTAGTTTCAGGTATACAACATAGTAATTAGACATTTATATACCTTGTGAAGAGATCACATTAAGACTAGTACCCATCTGGGACCATACTTAGTTATTAAAATACTATTGACTATATTCCCTAAGCTGTACATTATATCCCTGTGACTAATTTTATAACTGGCAGTTCATAAGACTTTTTAATACCTTTCACTTTTCTTGTTCATCCCCCGACCCCCACCCCCACCCCCACTCCTGGCAACCTTCAGTTTGTTTCTAGTTGTTGTTTTTTTATTGTTGTTTTGTTTCTTAGATTCCACATATAAATGAAATCATATGATAGTTGTCTTTCTGTCTCATATATCACTTAGCATAATATCCTCTGGGTCCATCCATGTTGTTGCAAATGGCAAAATTTTACTCTTTTTTATGGCTGAGTAATACTCCATTTTAAATATATGACACACCTTTTGATCCATTTGTCTCTCAATGGACCCCTGGGTTGTTTCCAAATCTTGGCCTTTGTAAATAATACTGCAATGAACATAGCAGGCCTGTGAGCATTTTGAGAAAATAAAGTACATGGTCTTTTTAATTTAAAAAGAATTGCTCTCCTGGATAAGGATTAGATCAGGTGGTCAATCAATAGTGGATTAAAGACGTTAGAAGTTCATTTTTCTCTCATGTAAAAGAAGTTCAGGGACAGGCAGCTCAGGGCTGAAGGAAACTTTACATCACCGGAGAGCCAGGCTTCTTCTCCATGGTTACACTGCATTTCCTGGTCTAGGATGGTTGCTGAGAGTCCAGCCATCATCGCCACATTCCAATCAGTGAGAGGAGGAAGGGAAAGAGAATCACATTCAATATTTCAGTGTCAGCCAGAACTTAGTCATATGGCCACATCTAGCTGCAATTAATGCTGTAAAATATAGGCTTTACTCACAGTGGCCATATGTGCCATTAAAACCAGAATTCTATTACTTAGGAAAAGAGGGGGAAATGGATATCAGGGACCAATTAGAACTCTCTGGAACAACCATCCAGACTTACTAATGTAGCAAATGAAATTTCTACTTTTGTAATCCTAAAATTATTTTCTTCGATTTATTTCTTTTCTCTGCCATCCACATGTGATTCCTGTAAAAAATGTTAAGTTCACTTACAGTGAACCTGTCAGCATATGTGTTTGCATATATCTTGGCCTGAATCATCTTGGGTCTCTTGCACAAACATAATTCATGCTGAAATGTGGGAAGGAATTGAAAGCATTCCTAACTCTCTGCTTAAGGCTGGGTCCAATATTTCTTCTTTCAGCTAAGGCCAGCGGTTCTCAACCTGTGGGTCGCGACCCCTTTGGGGGTCGAATGACCCTTTCACAGGGGTCACCTAAGACCATCAGAAAACACATATATAATTACATATTGTTTTTGTGATTAATCACTATGCTTTAATTATGTTCAATTTGTAACAATGAAATTGGGGGTCACCACAACATGAGGAACTGTATTAAAGGGTCGCGGCATTAGGAAGGTTGAGAACCACTGAGCTAAGCATTCAAATTATATAGACAATGGCTAAACAGGGATTTGCATAGTGTGGCTGCAACCTTGAATTATGTTATCTCCATGGGTCTGAGACTGGCCTATAAGCTCATAACTGCAATTTTCTTTGAGAGCCATCAGTCTGGTTTTGTGAGTCTCACAGGTAGAATGAAGCTATACTGACCCATAAGCATCCTCAAAGATTCCTAGATTCATGGAATTTTATTGCTAAAAGGTATCAAGAGTCCAACTCCCTCCTTTTACTGAGAAGACTCCGAGGAGTTAAGTAACTTGCCTGAGGACACCAAGCTATTTGGTTAAAAAATGTGCTTTGATAATTCCTCCAGGCCCAACTCTCCAAATGTCAAGAATAGGATGTGATCTGTGGCTGTTCAGGCCTATCTTTAGGTGGACCCATCATGTTGTGGTCCTACCAGATTTCCCATTGACATGCAGAAGCAGCTTCTGGAGTTCTGTCAGCCCTGCCAGGAGGAGAACACTGGTGTGGTGGCAAGTCACCTCCTCATTGGCAGGGTAAAGGGGCTTGACTGGCCCCTCCTTGTGTGTAGTAAGAGAATGGAATGTGCTTTAAGGGCCAGAGTCATTGTTTCTTTCAAGATTTTTAGATTTCCCAAATAACAGTCCTAAGCCATCTCTCTCAGGCATCATGAGCATCTAGGGAACTCTGATCATTCTTTTTTTTTTTTTCATGTTGCACAGGACAGAAAGATGAATACACTCATAGAATCATCAAATTGGAAGGGACCTAGAGATCATTATTTTCTCAATTTCTTGATTTCTCAATTGCAAAAACTTAACCCAGAGTGATGAATTGGATTAGCCAAGATCATATTTCTTCCTTATGATATATTGAAAGCCAAACCTTAAAATACCATAGTTTGTTTCTGATATTAACTCTTACTATTTACATAGTAGACTAGTATCTGAAAACTAATTGCCCACTTTAGATGAAAGATGAAAAGTGTGGAGTTACTCCAAAAACCTCTTAAATTTATAATGACATGACATGGGTTAGGTTTATAAAATATTTTATTTACAAAAATAGTCTTAATAAAATTAATACAAAACCATTTTACAATATAACTTATATAACTATCTTCTCAAAAAAGTGACATTTGATTATAACACATAAACTACATTTGTATTTGTTAAGTCACATTGTAGTATAAATATGTTTCACCATCATTTTTTTTTATAATAAGGTACATGCCAATAACAATGAACAATCGACAACAAACGTTATTTCATTATTCTTCCGATGTAAAAGTCATCTCTGGCCAAAACAAAATTAATCAAAAAAAAAAAAAGTAAAACAATTGTCCTATTCAACAACACAGTCCTTTTTAATTATTTGAGAGTTTATCTGACAAAGACACAACATTAATTTAAAAGCACCGTGGCATAAGGTCTAGTAACAATATCCCCAAAAGCCTTCTCCGATGTCTTCGCTCAACTGTTTATTCAGTATTTTGCCAAGATAAATAAAGATTGATCTCAACTCTCCCCTTCATTCGTCTCAAGTGTTTCTGAATATGCACTGTGGTTTTTAGACCTTCCCAAACTGGCATATGTTTAAAAAGTGAGTTTCTTTCTTTGGCTTCAAGTAGAGTTTCACAATACTTAGGAGACATACTGAGCCCCTCCATGTGGCTGAATCTCTGTGACTCCCCACCCGACAACATTTCCCCGGATGTGACAAGACTCGGCTCCTCCAGTCTCTCTTATCTCTTCGTTGCTGAGAACACGATCCCAGATATTGAAGCCGGTGAGTCTCCCAGAAAAGGCTAATGTTTCATCAAAGCCGCCACCCACACAACAGCCGTTCTTTTCTTGGCCAATCTGCAGGATTCCTCCCTCGGGAACAATGTGACCTTCGGCCAATCCCACAGTGGTGGCCACCAGTCCACCGTTTACCCACAAGGACACGCGCCCTTTCTCGGAGTTCCAGGTGCTGCACAGATGGGTCCACTTTCCCAGGGAAATCACAGTATCGGCAGCCAGTCTGTTCTCCTCTCCACCCACCACCAGCACGATGGCCTGATAGCTGAGGTACAGCTGGATCTCATATGGATTCCTCTTCGTGCCATAGGAAAACAGGATGGTTTTGTTTAATACATCTGTGGCTTTGACCCAAATGCAGGCACTAAAAGACTCGAGCTTCACTGGTGTCGCCGGATGCACGCTTCCAAAAATCTTCTTGGAACGCATTGGGAATAAAATCGCTGTTTCACAGCCTAGAGGAGCAAGAAAATAAGAAGAATATGAAAAAATATATATAAAGTCATTCAGAAATGAGCCTGGCATTTAGGTATGCTAGCCTGGGCATTTTAATGACTACAACTGAAAATTAGATTGCAGTATCACAATATGATGTGAGGGACCTCAAGTGTGTTCTCTGTGGAGCAAAGAAAACAGGAAGGGAAGCCAATTGTTTCATTCAATGAAGCATCTACTAGTAAATGGAGGAGAAGGCGTGCAGAGGAGCCAAATTGCCCAAACCCACAGAATAATGAAAATCATGCTTTAGTAACTATTTCCCCTCCCAATTAGCTTTCTTTGTTACAACTTAAAAAAAAAAAATGTTGAGTCACTATGCATTAACTTCAAACAATGACACCATAATTTCCAAGAACTCAGAGCCAAACTCAGAGCCAAACTCGTTTCCTTCTCCTTGACTTGTTCTCCAAACTCCCAGAACAAAAGCCTGTGAAATTCAATGGATCTAGCTGAGCCCATTTAGCCATTGTTAACACGCATTTTTAAACAAAAACTTTAGGACAGTCATGCTGTTGCTGAATACATTTTAATATACCACATGTTCTCAGATACTTATAAACTTTGCAAAAGTTTGTAGAAAACTATCTTTGAAAGGCAAAAATGTATAATGACGATGACTAACTTTTATTGGGTGCTCACTGTGTTCCAGATATTGTTCTTAACATCTTACAAATCATTTTAATCCTCAAATCAGCACCAGAAATAGTCAATATTCCCATTTGACAGATGAGAAAACTGAGTCAAAGAGCGCTAAGTAACTGAGCTGTGTTTACATAGATGGTAAGCGGTAAAACTAGGGTTTGGACTTAGGCACTCTGGCTGCAGAGCTTGACTTGCACACTGCATTGCCTTTTAATGGTGCAAGAAACAATGGGTTTGGCTAGAACAGCTGGAATTCAGTTTGTTGCACTACTAGTAAGCTGTGCAGCTTTTGATGACCCTCCTAATTTCTCCAAGCTTTACTGTTTCCTATAAAAAGCTCTCCTTTCGACTTGCCTTCCAATATTCTGCAAGTCAGCAAGTAACAACTTATGTAACACTCAGAAAGAGCTGTGTAGCCCAAGGATATGCTTGAAAACTCTGACTTTGTCCTTATGCCTATAAAAACGATTTAAGCAGCGATAGAAAACTTTAAGGAAGAGTGAATTCTTCCAGGAGGATTGGTGGAGAACAGATTTCTGCTAACGAGCACTTGGAAGGAGACTTTCAAACTTAGTGGTTGGGAGCTCAGTGAACTCCCTCCTCTGTCTCTCTCCAGGTCACATGCAGACAGGGAGCTGGGAAACTCTGTGCTAAAACCTTGAACAGGTGAGCCCTGCGTTATGCTAACCACATATATGTCTGCAAGAACATATATGAGAGCTAAACGAGGACTAGGTATTCCCTTAGTAACAACGTAAAAAAAAGTTGCCAATTAGCTTTGAAAAGTAAACTTCCAGAGCATTTAAAGACTAACTGGTGAATAGACAGAACCAGCAGGAACCAAAGGTCCATGCAAAGTGTGGTCAGCTAAGCTAAATGCCTGCAAGTGGCTAAGGGTGAAGCTCTGTCCTAAGAAAATTAAAGATGTAAATAGAGAAAATACTGAGATTCATAAAATCCTGTAAAAGTAACTACCATATTAAAGCACAAAATGGGTCCTGTCACACGTTGGCATTACCTTTTTCACTGAATAATTTGAATTTTTGAAGATTTTTTTTAATGAGGCGTTGATTCTTTATTCCAATGAAATTGGTAGGTGCATTTTTTTCCCCTAGCTATGTTAAATAAATCAAACAAAGATCACGGAACAAGAGATCACATTATGCCTGGGCGTTTGAGAAACGCCCTGTAATGTTTCAGAAAAGTAGTATTCAAGAGGGTGCCTACTGCAACCTAATTAACTGATTTCCTGTTTAGCTAAGCGCAGGCAGTCAGGGCTGCATTCCATAGCCTTCCTTCATTGCCTCTCAAAGGCCCCGCTTCCCCTGCAGGCTGCCCTGGCTGCTGGAGTTCATCGAGTGGAACTGCATGCTGGCAGTTTTTTTTTTTTCTGATTTCTTTTGGGAACCAGTGATTGAGGCTCTTGATATCTCTTTAAAATGTCAGACACTCTCTCGTGAAATGGCTTTTAACTAATAGGGTTTCCTGATTATGTTATCAAAGACCCAACAAAATTAAAACCAGGTTCTTCGGGGGCCGGCAGAATGATTAGGAATCCCTTAGAAGCCAAGCTGGCAGGAAACCAATGGAGGGAAAATCAAAGCATGTGGATAAATCTGTTATTGGATGTAATAAAAAATTAACATTTTGGAACTCAGAAACACACCCCTCCTCTGCTCTAGCTAAAATGCAGAGGCGAAGGTGAACATTAGCCTAATTCTTTAGTTTTCCAGGTGCATGATGTGTGCAATGGCTTTGCATGGTTTGCAAAAGACAAGAAATCTCATTCATTTAAAATAGCCACGGAATTATAATTTGCCTTCTTGTCACTTACATTGAGGATCTATTGTATATTTGATAGTATGCTTTCCTCTCCCTTTCCAAAGCCCTACTTAATATTTAAGAAAATGTGTTCTGTCCTGATAAACAATCCTCAAATATTGAGGGAAGACTGGTGTTCTGGTACGGTTTCTGTGATTTTAAGTGAAATGTGCTCTCACACATGCTTATGATTTTTCCCCACACTCCGTCCAATCAGAGTAGCCCTGTTGGGAATAGAGGGAAGGATGGCATTGTCTGTCATTGCTTTCAGTCCCTGAGTTTCCCAGGAAAAGTGCAATTATGGTTTCTTACCCAGAACACTGGTTTTCTAATACAGCCTACAAGTGATACATCACCATTTCCTAGAAAGTTTGACTTATAAAGGAGTGTTACTTAGCTCCAAATCTTCTCTTTATTTCTTTCAGCCATCTTTAAAATGTATTATTTCAGGTTCATGTGCACTTGGAGGTTCATCGAGTATCACGTGGGACTTTAACAAATTGCATCTGGTTTGGACTACCTCTCTCTGGTTTGGCCCTGAGAGAGGCCAGGCTTGTAACTGGCCAATAGAGCCCGTCCTGCAGGGCCTGGGGGATCGGGTGTCAGCAAGGGGCCCTCGCCTATTTCAAGACTATGATGGTCACGTCCACAGCTATCTCCGGGGCTCCCCGGGACTGGGAAATACTTTTGAAAGCCAATTTCCTTGCCATGTATAGTGTGTCTGAGCCCTGTGGCCATGCGTGGAGAAATAAGGGGTAGGGGGGGTCGGGGGAGGGAGGGAGTGGTGCGCCTGTGTGTGTTGGCCTAGAGAGTTGCCTGACTTGGCTTCCCGCAACGCGCGCTCGGAGAACAAAGCCGCAGGGAC